GATTGGCCGGTGGTGACCGAGCGATGTAATGGCCCCTGTCTCATCAACAGAAGTATTATATAAATGGGTTATTTACATCTGATTTATATTCAGATTCAACCACTGTAATTTTCCACTACCTATAAGGAGGACATGAACTGAACACGTGAACGGTAGCTTGCAAGAGAGAGACACCCATAAGTCAGCATCTATGTAAGCGCGCACCAATGTGATGCCTTTAGTCAGTCACTCACACCAACTAATATCGAACGGACGTTGATTCACGTTTATATACATAAACGCCGTCCCTTTCTCATCACATTCATAAATAGTGGAGCTTACGGTTGATCTACATTCAGGAATTATATACATAGTACTTTTTAGTAAAACAAGAAACTTCAATTAGGTTTCGTTACTAAAAGCCCAATATATATTTTATGTGTACCAACCTGGTTAACTGGGAATTAACCAGCGGAACATCTCATGGACAGTTCCATGTTGGATGCTCCAGAGTGAGAACTGGCAAAAATCTGTACATACTTGCTGATAATGGCAAACAAAAATGTGATCTACCTTAATGCACTACAGTGAGACAATGTGGAGCCTTACGGAGGGTGGCGTTCTAACGTGGCCTGGCGAAAGAGCGCGATTCCGCTGGTATATATATATATATATATATATATATATATATATATATATATATATATATATATATATATATATATATATATATATATATATATATATATATATATATATATATTACATACACACGTGGGTGTGTGTATAATTACTCGGAGAAGTCCGCTCTATCTGGTTGTATGTATGTTTGTATATATGTGTATGTGTGCATATATATATATATATATATATATATATATATATATATATATATATATATATATATATATATATATATATATGCTGATAACCACAAGGAAAGAAGAAAACACGAAGTTCCCAAGCGCTTTCGTGTAATTCACATCTTCAGGGCAAGACTGTAAATTGCCATTCCTAGACTGTCTGATACACAGAATAGGTACCACTTTTAAGTTCAGTATTTATAGAAAACCAACTAATGTGTGTTCATACATTCATTATTTTTCTGCCCACCATAATAAAGTCAAACAGTCAGTATTTTCAACAATGTTTTTACGTGCTTTGAGAATTTGCAGTCCGGAATTCATTGATGAGGAATACAAATATATATATAATATTGGCTCAAACCTTAAATACCCTAGATCTTTCATAGACAAATGCCTAAACATTACTGAAAATTTTTTTTATAGAACTGATCCCAAGCCCACCCGTGACCATAAGAATATCTTAATATTACCATTTCACAAAAATTTCTCACACATTCCTTCACAACTAAAAACCTGGAACGTCAATGTGACATTTAAAAACTCATGCACTGTTAAACAAATGTTAATCAAGAACTCCCCCAACAACACAATTGGTTGCATTTATAAAGTTCCTTGCAAGGAATGCAATATGTTTTACTTAGGCCAGACAGGTAAAGATCTTGCAATTATAATTAAACAACACAAATACAGTGATAGGACAGGCCAGGAATCCAATACTCTGTTTGTTCATTTGAGGGATAACAAGCATTGCACTGACTGGGATAATGCCTCCTCAATATTACCTTGTAATTCAATTGATAGTAGGAACATCATAGAATCTAGTCTTATTAAACATACCGAAGCATTCAACATGAATTTGAGTAATGGCATGTACAGACTGGACAATTTTGTAATTAAGAAGATTTGTAACCAGGTGAGAAGGTCGGGTCACCTTACCATCTGACCTGACCACCAACCGTTGTGTGCTATTTAAAGATTAGTAGGGTCATTACTTAATACCTGACCATTGTGGACCTGGACTCACCCTCCTCTTTATATATACACCTTGCTTTGTATTTCTCTTTAGTCTGCACTCACCCCTGAAGATGTGAATTACACGAAAGCGCTTGGGAACTTCGTGTTTTCTTCTTTCCTTGTGGTTATCAGCATATACCCTGATCACGCGCACCTACAGTGATTTACTTGCATATATATATATATATATATATATATATATATATATATATATATATATATATATATATATATATATATATATATATATATATATATATATATATGTATATTTATATACATATATATATATATAAATATGTATTTATATATATATATATATATATAAATACATGTACTGTTAATGAATATGATGTAGTTCTTTGTGTATGAACCTCTGTCCTGCCTGGCAGTGAGAAGTGATATCACCCTCAGTGTTAAGATCTGACTGAATTACTCAAAATAGGCAAACTGTACTCTAAGTTTTCTCAATAAATTTGTTAAACTAAACTAAACTGTCTCTCTCCTGTCCCACCCCTCCCCTCTGTCTCTCCATCCCTCTCTCTCTGTCTTCTATTTTATCCCACTGTGGTGGCAACACGTGACGTAGTTGGCAGTGGTCCAAGGATCAAAGAAGGCGGCCGCGGCCCACTTGTTGCCTTATCGGACAGCTGAGGTGGGTTACCATGGGTGAGTTACTATCAATATAACACTAGTTGGCAGTAGTTTTTCAATTATAGAATCTCATTGTCTATGATAATTATTATAATTAGAAATTTTGTAAGCATAATTTATGAATCAGAGGTCTGCAATTTAAATCCAATCGTTTTGCATAAACAAGTGTGTTTATTAATATCTAATCACTTTTAAATCAATTTGCACAAAGATTTTGCTCTTTAACTACGTTTTTGTTTTACAGTACTTCATGAGATCGACGCTTCTGCGATTACTATGAATGTTATGCATATGTACATAAGTATGTTATATACACGAGAGTGTGTCAGATGGAATGTGTTTATGTATGCGTGTGTTTATGTCTGCGTGTGTAAAGTGCGTATGTATATATATATATATATATATATATATATATATATATATATATATATATATATATATATATATATATATATATATATATATATATATATATATATATATATATATATATATATATATATATATATATATATATATATATATATATATATATATATATATATATATATATATATATATATATATATATATATATATATATATATATATATATATAGTTACGAACCTCTCCACCCAGCACTACGAACCACGCCATCTATTGTCCTGATCTACCTACCCAGCACCACGAGCAACGCCATCTAGGGACGAGACACGAGTATGACTCGTCTTAGTTACCACTCCGGGGTTTCCCTTCTCCATATCCTGGTTGTTGCGTCACCTCCTCAGTCTTCTTTGTCAGCTCCAATTCGAGGAGAGAGCACTTGGCTCTGGGAAGTGACCACAGGATCATCTATCCTCTAAACCTACGTGCAGTGACTACCTACCGTCTTCTACAATACTCAGCCTTACTCGTCAGCCATCTCAGCTCCTCACTTAAGTACTTATATTTTGTATTAACTCCCCCACGTCCACTTGCTTCAAGATTGTTTTATGTTTATTAATATGTATATACTGTTAATGTTTAGGTTAAGTTTGGTTAAGGGTAATTTATAAGCTGAATATTTTGTTAAGGGATTTATGGTACTTTATTATATACAACGAAAACTCGCATCCTTTGTCTACCCTTTTATAGTCCGATTGTCTTTGTTTTGTTTTTTTATTGTTGTTACCTGTTGGGATCTGGGTAGACGTATAACTATATTCTAAATCCCCAACTCGTAACAATATATATATATAGTGAATGTATATAAAGGAATGAAGAATGTGAGCAGTGTGCATGTATAAATGCATGTGTATGTATGCATATATGAAAGTACAGGTGTGTTTGTGTAATAATAATATTAATTGACGGTTTATTGAAAAAGTTCTGCAGCCCGAAGGCTGAAAATATACATTGGACATAAATGACTTATTACATACATTGGTGGTTTAACAAAAGCCTTCTTTAGAGAAAGGTAAAGGAACATACAGTGAACATACAGATTATTGTAGGTGTTGAACAGCAAAAACGTAGTGTAGTAACTCCCTCCCAGATGGTGTTAGGAGGGACCTCACGTGGTGTAGTAGTTCCCTCACAGATGGTGTTATGAGGGGCCTCGCGTGATGTAGTAATTCCCTCACAGATGGTGTTATGAGGGGCCTCACGTGGTGTAGTAAATCCCTCACAGAAGGTGTTATGAGTGGCCTCACGTGGTGTAGTAATTCCTCACAGATGGTGTTATGAGGGCACGTGGTAGTAATTCCTCACAGATGGTGTTATGAGGGGCCTCACGTGGTGTAGTAATTCCCTCACAGATGGTGTTATGAGGGGCCTCACGTGGTCTAGTAATTCCCTCACAGATGGTGTTATGAGGGGTCTCACGTGGTGTAGTAATTCCCTCACAGATGGTGTTATGAGGGGCCTCACGTGGTGTAGTAATTCCCTCACAGATGGTGTTATGAGAGGCCTCACGTGGTGTAGTAATTCCCTCACAGATGGTGTTATGAGGGGACTCACGTGGTGTAGTAACTCCTTCACATATGGTGTTATGAGGGGCCTGACGTGGTGTAGTAATTCCCTCACAGATGGTGTTATATGAGTGAGGTGTGGTCCCAGGCCTTCCTATCGTAGACGGATTAACACATCGCTGGTTGTTGGGTCTCAGGGGCCGCTATCACTGGGTACCTGGGACCTCACTGTGTGAAGGTCAACCCGGGTACGACTGTTACTGTTGAGTTGTTCTCACTGACTTAAGCACCGTTCACCACTGTTCACCTCTGTTTAACACTGGTTCCATTCCTTTCCTAAATGAAACAGCAACTTCTGGCGAGAACATGTTGATATTCCGGTGTGTATGTGCGTAGTATGGGTGTGTGTAATAATGATATTATTTAACGGTTTATTACGAGAAATAAAACACAAAAATCGAGCAATTCCGATTGACGCTGAGATTTTAGTGCGCCATTCCTGTAGACCCTCTCACTTGTGGCAATCCACCACTTATTTGCTACGTGGCAACTACTCCATTGCCTGACACCAGGGCCAGCAATAGTAACAGACTCACAGTTCCCTCAAGCGGCAAGTTGGTAGGTACAGAAGCCTTTTAAATATTTTTTTTCGTAATATTCGCCTGTAAAGTTTTTGCAAAGTGTTTAATAATACTTTTTTTTACGATGTTTTACCTACGGTATTCATACATGTAATTGTCATGTATGTAGTACAGTGTACACTCCTCAATTATGCCCCTCTGTGTTTACTACAAACGTCTTATTTAATTGTAAGATTGATGAAAATGTTGAAAAGCGATTTTATAAGTTTTTAAATAAGTATTTATGAAGTGGTTATTTCTTACGATATTCATCATGCTCACACTGTGAAGAAATTTTTGTAAAGTGCTTTTATTTATATTTACGCAGTTGGAACTCCCTCAAGCGTCTACCATCACACAGAAAGGTAAGATTGTTTTAAGATATAGTTTCATTATATTGATTTCATACTATAAAGATATATGATTGTATACTATTGTTACGAATCCATTTCACCTCTTGCCAGAGTCCAACGCTGGTTACCAGCGGCAGGTCGTATATAGAGAAGCAGTAGATATATCATATATCGTTAAATTACCACTAGCTGTCCCGCCAGTCTCCAGTAATTTCCCGACGATCGGTATCAGTGTACAGACAAAACAACTGGCAGGTTGATTTCCACCAGGTCACAGAAACTCACTTGTGAACTGTAGTCTGCTTTAATAATAACTAAGCAGCCAAAAAACTCTTCACAGAGTCTATCCTTAATACTGGACGTATCACTTCGAATATACAGGTATACAGTCAGCACCCTAACAGTATACAATTCCTTAGTCTTTTCACTTTATATCGCTCACAACAGTTCCACAATATTTGAACAACAATTATTTTTAGCTGTCACTAGGCTTGTACTTGACACTGAATAGAAATGGGCAGCTTACTGGTATTTATATATAAGTTTTGTCAGACGCCGAGAGCATTCTTACGACATCCAAGCGTTGCAGGCTGTGGGGGCCGAATACTCAAAAAACATTTACTGGGCTGTATCTCTTTGTTTACCCCGTAATTGGACTTACAGTCTCCGATTGGTATACTCAAAACAAATATTTGGCAGCGAACTCCGTAAGTGATCCTGTAATCTAGCCCATAACTTACAGCACCTCCTTAAGTTCTTTAACACTCCTGATTGCATAAAAAAATTAGTTATGTATGTTGTAATAAAACTTTTTAGACTTGTTTTATCATAGAATAATAAAGAAAATGTTTTGTACATGTAATGAGACAAAATCTCACACGAAGAGGTAAGTTAGGAGTTTATAGTAGTAGAGTATTGTAGCGAGAGGAAATGGTAGCGTGTCTCGAGGGTGTGATGTCAACACTGTATATTAACACAGGCACAGTACAAGTGTAGTATATAAAACACCAATGCTTGTTACAGCTTTATTTTACTAGTTCAATAGGGGGGGATTAATAGGGGGGGTTCGTACACAATTTATGATAGACTATGGTATTCTCGTATAACCTAACCTCACAATTAGAATGGGCACTTCACTAAGTCGATCGTTGGGGAGGTTCGGGATCACTGCACTTCCACAGACTACACAGCCAGCACTTACTGTTACACGTGGAGTTGACAGCACTTTGTCGATGGACCCGGGCTGAGACTTCGTTACACTTAGTGGCGGGCTTCTCTCGAGCGGGACTCGGGGACGTGGTAGCTGGCCCTTCCTGGTTACAGACACTCCTCCGTGAGAGGAGCTCCAGCCCCTATATATTGGTCGAGCCGGGGGGTGACCTCTCCTACTGAACTGGGTGTGTCTTGACCGTGTTGTTGGGTCAACAGGAGTGCTGGCTAATTAGCGGGTCCTTGAATTACTAAGGTCATGACGCCCGGTAGAGCTGATCGAGTGGTGGTGAGAATTCTGGTTCCCTAGTGTCAGGTCTGGACGGCTGTGTGCAGGTGTCGTCCTGCCCAGGTGTCTTGGTTAGGTGCGGTTGTAGGTCACCCGGCTAACTCAAGTCATTAGCGGACGAGGTCAAGTCCCTAGGGTCGACCTGAGGTGTGTCAACCCGGGATGTGGTGGTGCCACGAGGTCTGTAGTGTGCTTGCTGTTACATGTGACATAATTCTGGGCTGTAAGCTTTGGTCTGAACAATCAATCATTACATACATAAACATACTAAAATATTTCAGTTTGTCATTTTCGTCCCTTTTTTTATATTTGTCGCAGAATGGAAGAGACGTATCTTTTACCTTCTTACAACTTTTCAAGTAATTTTTACCAAAACAGAAGGTTTGTATTGTCCACACTTAGGGTACAAAAACTTTTCATGGCTGAGTAAATTTACAGATAGACCTTATTAATGTCGTAGAGCTGTAAATATCGCGAAGTAATGAAAGTCAAATATGAGGTCAAGTGAACATTCATGCCTAGACTTCGCCTTGTTTTTTGGATATTCAACCAATATCCTATGCTTATTTTCTTATGTATGTGGCTTATGATAACATGAAAGGCTCTACATGTCCATAGGCTAGCCAAAATTAAATGATATTGGGAGTAAAATATAGATTGCAATTAACTTGATTAAGCTAGGGGCCTATATAACTACTTTTTCAGTCTTAACCAAATAAATGTTTAAACTTGGGGGCCTAATTAATTTAGTTAGAACATGAAGAATATTTAAAGGGGAAATTATACCAATAGGTTAGAGCAGGGGTTCTCAGCCATGGGGGAATTTCCCCACTCAGGTTTTCCGGGGCTGGGGGAAAACTGATACTAATATGGAAAAAATAAAGGATTTTCAGTATTATATGCATATTATTTGGAATGCACTTTTTGAGGCAGACAATCTTGGAAAGGAGGGGGAAATAACATTCTGACATATGGTGAAAGGGGTGCATGGGGCAAACAAGGCTGAGAACCACTGGGTTAGAGGTTAAGTTTGGTTTGGTTAGGTTATGTTATGTTAGAGAATGTGTACATGGCAAATTTGGTGAGTGTCAGGCTCTCAGTGAGACACTGTCTAACAGCTATCTTAGGCCTAGTTCCAGTCTTTCCATCAACAGTAGCCTATGGTGGAGTATAAATTGTAGAAACTTTAAGGCTAATGCTATTTAGTGTCAGGATTTCATTATTGCCTTTTTGATGAAATTCAAGCAAATTCAGACCAAATTACCCAAACATTGAAAGGAAAGCACCAGGGTCTCGGCTAAATCAGTAGTATAAGAGAAGTGATTTGTCATTTAGGTTAGGCAAGGCTATGCTATCAATAACCTATTTATTTGAAGTCGTCCAGAATAAGGCTATCCTAGTCTAGCTGATGTGTCTTGTCACAGGCCAGCATTAGGTCAGGGGTTAGCAACCCAAATTCTATTAGGGGAAAAACAAAAATTACAGTGAGATCTCTGTTAGCCGGAACAATTGGTGAAGGGCACTTCCATGAATGAGAGTTTTCCTGGTAACGAGACGATTCTCTCAAATCCAGAAAAAATCCCTCATCCCCAGAATGTTTCTGGTTGTAAGGGGGGTAAAGAGCCGGATGGTTGTCCGCCGCTTGTTTGTTTGTTCTCGGCCCCATTCTGGGGGTAGACGGAGGCGAGAAGGTCGCTGCTGCCTCATTGCACAGCAGACACTACCCACCTGTCACCACAGCTGTACTCGCACCCCGCTGTTCTATTCCAACTCTGGTTGTGTCCTCATCTAAGGTTCCTGGGGCTCATGGTCTGATTCCCCAGTCTCACTATTCAGCTGTCAACTCCGGACACCAACTCCAGCTACTACCGCGGTTGCCACGTCATCGCCACTTCCCCCACGCCCTATCCACCGTCAGTGCTCAGGCGTCTCTCCTATGTGGCAAGACATTGACCACGAACGCTGGCGCCAAGTGAGGAAGCTGCCCTGGACCTTCCCCCTGAGAGCGGACCACCACTTTATCAGAACATTCCACCGAGCTGGTTAGGAGTATTCATCTGCAGTCATAGGAAATATCTGTACTTTGTTTGACTCACATAATTTTCGGCTCTCGTAATTGTTTGAGTCCGTAATTGTTTGACTCCCTCAATTGTTTGACTCTTGTAATTGTTTATTTAATATTTGTGTGAGTAGTGTCAATTATTGTGATTATTTTCGTAGGAAAGAGATGTCAATCTCTAATGGATGTTTGTTACCACTTGGAAACCCATGATTTTTTCCTTTCCTTTTATAAGATCCTGATTAGGCTGGCAAGGGATTTATACCCCAAAGTCCAGGCCTATACAAGTGGCGACCTTGCCAGGATTGTCTAACCTTGGTTTCTGAGGGTTAACATTCGTTACTGATGTTTGTTATAAGTCGCCGCGGGAGCGCCATTTGCTGCCTGAGGCCCGGATTAATGCTCCAAGTCGACCAGAATCCTCTGGCCCTATACAAGATAATGTTGTAAAACCTAGTTTGCCTGTTTATCGTGAAGAAGACATCGCCTCCTACCTTGTTAGGTTTGAACGGGTAGCTGAGCTGCTTGATGTGGACAAAGATAGCTATGCTGTAAGATTGGGTAGCCTACTGAGTGGTAAACCGGTACAGATTTATATGTCCCGGTCTGCCGACATCACTAGAGATTACTCTTTGTTGAAGCAAGCTCTCTTGCGAGGGCTTAACAAGACTTCTGATGGTTATCGTGTCGATTTTCGCAGAACAAAGACTAGGGCAGGGGAAACTTACCAGCAATTTTCAATCTACCTGGGTCGTTTGTTTCAAAAATGGCTAGAGGCGTCAGAGGTTGATGAAACCTTTGTGTCTCTCACTAACTTTATGTTATTGGATCAGGTTCTGTCTTCTCTACAGCCACACCTGAGAATATTCGTCAAAGAACGCAGGCCAGCGACGCTAGGAGAAGCTGTAGAACTTGTTGACAACCTGGCGTCCGCTCGCAACGTCTACCCAAAGTCTCTCACTCCCCCAGTGAAGAACACGAAGCCTCCGTCCTCCTAGGAACCATTCCCAGGAGTAGAGAGGAGAAGTTCACCGGCCGTGCTGTGCCACAACTTCGGAGAAGGGCACATTCGTTCTCCCTGTCCCAGGAATCCCCGCGCCTTCAAATCTACCGACATGCATCAGCCCAGCTACAAGGTCGGATTTGGTTTCGAAGACTGGAGCTGTCCCAGTTATTGTGTCAGCAGAACGATAAATGGATCTTGGGCATATACTATCATTTGGGACACCGGTTGCTCGTGTATTATTGTCTCTGAGGAAATCCTGCCTGACGCTGAAATCTCCAGCTACTCGAAGGTTAGTGTCACCGATTATTTAAGCCGTGTTGACCAGTCCCCTTTTGTTAGGGTGCTACCTGTGTTGCCCCTATTTCGTTGGTTGGTCTGATGTGGTAATAGCGCCCATTAAATTTGCTAGTGTTCTCACTGGTAATGTTCCTGGAGTTCGTGACCCTAAC